TAACAGCCAAAAATATTGACTATGAAAATGTGTGAACCTAAAAATATTTTTCTTTTTATATATATATATTTTTAAAATTGTCAATGGACCTTTATTTCATTTATTAATTTATTTGTATGTGGTGCTGAGAATCGAACCCAGTGCCTCACACATGCTAGGCAAGCTCTCTACCATTGAACCATAGCCCCAGCCCAAAATATTTTTCTTAATATATATAAACCCACAACTGACAGACCATAGTCAGAAATATAATTCAAAAATCTATCCACACTACACAGAGTTTGATAGACAAAAATAAACAAAAATGTAAATTTGCAGAGCATAGAATCCCTGACTGCAGGGGTTGTGTGTGAGTCTGGCAGGTGTTCTGGTTTTGATATGAGATGTCCTCCAAGCGCTCATGTGTGAAACAATGCAAGAAGATTCAGAGGTGAAATGATTAGGTTACGAGACCCTTAACCCAATCGGTGAATTAATCCCCTGATAAGGATTAACTGAATGGTACCTGTCGGCAGGTAGGGTATGGCTGAAGGAGCCGGGTCCCTGGCAGCATGCCTTTGGGTTATATATTTTGTTCTTGCAGAGCAGATCTCTCTCTCTCTCTGCTTCTTGGTGGCCATGTCCTGACTGACTTTCTTCTGCTATCTTATTCTACCTTGAGGCCCAAGGAATGCAGCTGGCCATCTATGAACTGAGACCTCTGAAACCATGAGCCCCAATATAAACTTTTCCTCTCTAGTTGTTTTTGTCAGTTTTTTTCTTAGTCAGAGAAGTAAAAAAGCTGACTAAAATGCCAAGCAAGTGATTTGTCTTTGCTTCAGGGAGAACTCATAAACATGCATATGGATGTGGGTGTTCCCTGGGAGGAAAGTTGTAGGTGGCCCCAGATAATAAAATTAAAGACAAAAAAGGAGACATTGCAATCGATATCATAGAAATGCAAAGGATCATTTAAGATTCGTGTGAACAACTATATGCTAGCATATTGGAAAACCTAGAAGAAATGCATAAATTTCTGGATGTACATAACCATCAAAATTGAACTACAAGGACACAGAAAACCTATAGACAATTAACAAATAATAAGATTGAAACAATAATAAAAAGTCTGTCAGGAAAGAGAAACCAGGACTAAATGGCTTCAACTGCTCAGGTTTATCAAACTTTGAAAGAAAAGCTAATGCAATTCTTCTCAAATTATTTCATAGAAGTAAAAGGAAGGGAACCCTTCCAGGTAAGAGGCCAGCATTGCCCTTAAAACAAAACCAGACCCAGACACAACAAAAAAGAAAACTATAGACAAATATCCCTGCTGAACATAGGTACAAAAATTCTCTACAAAATACTAGCATATTGAATCTACAGCATATCAAAAAATCACCTTGGCAA